GTAGAAAACAGAGCTTGAGGCAATGATTAAGTGCTAGTGTTTTATCAGGAAGTACAATCCCAGACAGTGAGAGTGAGAGAGAAATAACATGATTCAGGGAAGACTAAGAAGCAATAAAAGGCATTATGTTACTGGACTGGTCACTGTCTCCTGTGTTTGAGACCCAGCTGGCTGCTTAACAGGTGCACCAACTTGGCCATATGTCAACAGGCAACATGGAGAATCATATTTTGTAACAGTCTATAAAAGAGAAGAAGGTGTGGAAAATGATTCCCCTATACCCTATTCCAAAAATCAAAGTTCACCCCACAAGGAGACAACTTCTGCATTGTTTCATCCAGCTTCTTTGGCAGTTGATCTGGGGGCCAAATCCCATCAGCACAGTGTGGCTTTGCATTCAAGTGCAGAAATGGCCTTAGATGCCAGAAACTCCAGGCATAGGGCAGCTAGGCCTGGATGCACAATGGCAGCCAAGGGGAGTGCGTCACCCATTTGGGAAAGTGAAAGATCCATTTGTCCAAGGTGGCAAACCCATGAGGACTCAAGCACAGACAATCAGTCATGGTGGTGGGATGAAGAGCAGTCCTCTGGGGAGGCACAGCCAAAGTAGCAGCTGAGGCAAAGCAAGCAGCTGAGGGCCCAGGAGATCATGGCTCCAGAAGAATGTAGGGAGGTGCGTAAGATGTATCAGATAAGTTTTCAAATCACACATGTGGAAACCCCAATATAAGATATATGTAAGAGGAGCTGCTCTTTGAATCAAAGAGGAGAGTCCCCACCTCTTTTCTCACACTCCCTCCCATGGTGACCTTTGGGTTACACCCTTGTTCTCCTTGCAATACTATTTGAAGTTAGATTAGATGCCTTCTTGAATCAACATTCAGATTTTTTATTTTTATTTTTTGGTAATACATCCAAAGAATAGTATTTTGTTGCCTATAGGATAAACTTATCTTAGTTTTTTGGTTTGTGGAATTGCAAAGAAAGGAAGATATAGCAAGTATAAACATGGATAGGGTTATATCAAATGGTGGAATTTTGGATTTTTGAGAATTTAAAGTTCATCAGTTCAATTAACTCATAATTGCAGATGAGAAATCTGAAATTCCAGAGGATAAGTTTTTTTAAAAAGGTCATACATCTAATTAGTGAAAGATAACCAAGGGAATCTGACTCCCACTGCTGGGTGCTTTTCTGTGCATATGTTTCTGTAAATGTATTTTTGGAGTTCATGAATTTGCTTCAATGCTTTTTTAATTTTGCATTTTCATTTTGATAACAATATAAAGCCATTAATGTATGCCTATTCTGCGCTTTTCTGTGCATATGTATCTGTAAATGTATTTTTGGAGTTCATGAATTTGCTTCAATGCTTTTTTAATTTTGCATTTTCATTTTGATAACAACATAAAGCCATTAATGTATGCCTATTCTGGACCATCTGGATGACCACTTGGTACTTCTGTATTTGCTTTTCTGTGCATATGTTTCTGTAAATGTATTTTTGGAGTTCATGAATTTGCTTCAATGCTTTTTTAATTTTGCATTTTCATTTTGATAACAATATAAAGCCATTAATGTATGCCTATTCTGGACCATCTGGATGACCACTTGGTACTTCTGTATTCAAACTATAGTGAATCCTTCCTTTGTTCAGGATGTAACAGTACAGGTAACCCAAGGATAGGAGAATCTGCCCCACAGCATTTAACACTGTGTTCACACTGCAACAGACTGTGTCGCAAGGCTTCCATCTTTGTATATATTCTTTCAAAAGCTATAAGAACTTAGAAAATGCTCTTTCTTTATCCAATTCCAGCAATAATTTGATCATCAGTGAAGCTGTAATGCAAACTTTATGCTCAAGTTAACAAGACAATTTTGGTGACACTTCATTTAAAATGGCATCTTACTCTTGAACAGAATTTTTAGATAAATAGGAGATCTGAATAACCTCAGCTAGCACAAAGAAACTTGAAGTCCTTTAATACTCTCTTGTCCAATATATTTATGTAAACAGGCATTCTCTACATTAGAATTATTAAAGTCAAAATTCCAAAACATTAAATACAGGACAAAACTTGAGATTGACTACTTCTATGAGTGCACCCAATACTGAAATTTAGTTGCTGAAGAAAAAATTTAGATTTTATCAGTTTTATGGTTTTAAAAATTCAATTTGTAAATTTTTCTTAATCGTCTTATAAGAGCACACACTTCCTCCTGGGATGCATGGTTACCTAATGACAGATTGGTGAAGGAAATAGCCTGGATCTTGGATTCCAGAGTCCCAGGTTCAGGTCATGGCTCTGCTGAAAACTAACTGTATGTTTCCATTAAGTCATGTGACCCCAGTTTTCTCATTGGTAAATTAAGGAGATTGCAGGGATCACAAGTCCTTATGCCTGTTGGAACCAGGTAGAGTAATTAAATGAAGTAGGTCAGCTGTCAATAATAGACAGTATTGAGGACAATAACTAATTCAGAAGACATTTGCCCCACATTTAAAATTGTTTTGATTCAAACTTTTTTTTAGTACTACAAGCAAAAACAACTCATCTGTGGGCCAGGTTCCATCTGTAAATTGCCAATTTGCAATTCCTGTACCAAATAATCTTTAGAGCACCTCCCCCAACTCCAAAGCATTAAATGCAATGACTCTGATATAAATGAAGTATAAGCCAGCATCTAGGTGACCGGTGCAAGGTGGTAATAGACAGAAAAAGAAATCCTCCAGAAGGCTTCAGTATGTATTAGAGTTTTAAGAGTGATGGCCGGCCCGGTGGCACACTGCTACAGTGCGCTGCTTGGGAGCGCGGTGGCGCTCCTGCCGAGGGTTCAGATCCCACATACAGACTAGTTCCCGCTCACTGGCTGAGCGAGGTGCAGGCACAACACCGAGGTTTGCGATCCCGTTGCCGGTCCGAGGTTTGCGATCCCGTTGCCGGTCCCGGTCCCGTACGGGCACGACACTGAGAGTTGCGGTCCGTTGCCGGACACGAAAAAAGACAAAAAAAAAAAAAAAAAAAGAGTGATGCAGCGTCATATAAAAGAATAAGGCAAGGAAGGGACTGAGAAATACATGATCAAAGTGAGTGAAAGAAAAAAAGAAAAAGGAAAAAACAAAGTGAGTGAAAGATTTTTCTTGGTTCCAACTGTATCCAACCAAAAAGTACTGTCTGAATTATAATTCCTGTTCAATTCTCTAGTATTGTACTCCTGATCCAAGCCAAATATTCATTTACATTCAACAAACTATGGGCCAGGCACTGTGCCAGGTGCTGGAAAGATCTCTAAAGAATTATATACCTTTTTTTTTTTAAATTAATGAATATATTTAAATGATTGTTTTTCACTGTTAAATGTTTTATCCTCAATTTGTTTCAGGTGTTATTGATAAGAACTTAATTTCAATTAAAATTAGAATATTAGATAAGGCATTTGATGTTTTTTCATCCTTTAGAGTTTAAGGAGACAGTGTGAGAGTATTTTGAAATGGATGTTGTGTTAGCAGAAACAATACGGTTATCTGATATACCTTCTGTGGTGTTTTCCAGACTTGGTGCAGACTCTGATTGCTTTCTTTCTCAGTAGTTAGCCTTGCGCACACTCAGACTTTCTGTGGCTGACCAAGGTGTTTCTTTATATTTTCATTTCTTGCATTTATATTCTCTTTCTTCCCATTTGTGCCCAGTCCCAGCCATTTCTCATGTTGACCAACAGGTAAAAAATAACAGGTCAATGTGAGACTTTGGTTCGACTTCAAACTAAAGAGATGTTTGAACCCAACTGCAAGCTTTGAGGGTCTGTTCATAGAAGTTTAAAAGCAAAACAATATACAATAAACAGAATGAGGAAAAAGAAGGAGCAAGAATTTAGTCTGTCCCTGACAGCTGGCTACCCGGTTTATGATACATTATCACATTTATTCTTGTAATTGGCTATTTCCTGTTTTAAATGCCTTTTATTCATGTCTGCCACCTTTCTCTCAGTTTATTAGCCTTGTGGTCACCACATTATCTTTCTCTTCAAAATCAATTGACATTTTTATGAAAAGAGTTTGCAAGGTATTTAGCTGTGAGAGTGGCAGACAGAACATGGACCGGCACGTTATAAAACCCCTGTTAGGACAACTCTAGTACGTAACAATGGAGCTGGATATTTTCAGGGGATTTGTGTGTTTTCATTTAGATTGATGCAGTGTACTATGAAAAAAGTGGTGTGGTTTTAAAAATGTGAAACTATAGCATCACCATAGTACATATTCTATTTACTGCTGAATATCACTTATGAATGAGAGGAAACACCCACCGTTTAAAGTGACATAACAAGCAAATCTGGTAGTTTGCCTGTCTAGACAGCTCACGCCAGTCTTTCTGTAAGCGAAGCCCCACGGCCCTAGGTCCTTAGGCCATCGAGGGATAGGAAGTCCCACCGCTTTATGTCTACGATGACAGTGGGTAATAGTCAAATTTCAGATAAGCACGTATTTTGTATCTTACAGGAAATAGACAATTACAGACCCTAAGATAATCAGGGTCTGGATTTTGTGAAGAAAGTCAGCTGACTTAAAAAGGTGTGTTCTTCCAGTGGTCCAAATAGTACTTCTTTTTTTTTTTTTTTTTTTTTTTTTTTT